GCCGACCCGGGGCGTTCCGGATAATGATGTTGATGATGGCGATGATGATGAGGAGGAGGAAGAGGAGGAAGAGGAGGAAGAGGAGGAAGAGGAGGAGGAGGAGGATCAGGAGGATGGTGGCAGGATCGGCGGCCAAGAGGGGGGGGGAGGGGGGAGGGGGGGGGGCTTCCAGCAGGGCGGCTCCAAGGGAGAGGAGGGGGGGGGGAGTAGCTTCAGCCCCCCCCCCCTTTGGAAAGGGGGGTAGGAGGGGGGTAGCTTCCGGGGCGGCCAAAGGGGGTGGGGGGGTGGGTAGCTTCCAAGCCCCACCCCCCCCCCTCCCCCCCCCCCCTACCCCCCCTTTGCACGAAAGGGGGGGGGGGCTTCCAGCAGGGCGGCGCCAAGGGAGGGGGGGTAGCTTAAGCACACACACCCCCTTTGGAAAAGGGGGGGCAGGGGGGGGGTAGTTTCTGGGGAGGGCCCAAGGGGGGAGAGGGGGGGGGATAGCTGTAAGCCCCCCCCCCTCTTTTGCAACAAAAAGGGCGGAGGGGGGGGGCTTCCAACAAGGGTGGTTCAAGGGAGGGGGGAGGTAGCTTAAGCCTAGCCCCCCCCCCTCCCCTTTGCTCGGGCCCTCTGGGCGCGCTTTCTCATCCCTATGTTATGTTCCCTTGCTCTTCCTACTGGTGGAACTTTGGAAGCAATGCTGCCAGGTGATTCCGCAGCCGTGTTTGGGTGGGGCAGCGGTTGCCCCGCCCCGTCTCCCACGGTGCCCCTCCTTTTTCTGCTCCGTATTCCCTTCCCTCAGCACGAAGGCCGCGGCCATCGTTGAGGCCTCCCCCGCGAAAGCCTGAAGGACGAGCCCCGGGGGCCCTCTTAGTCCGCGGCGAGCCCCGCAAAGCGGCAGGGGAGGAGGAGGAGGGGGAGGGGGATGAGGACCAGACGCAGGAGGAGGAAGAGGAGGAGACAACGTGGTGCACACAGGCGCTGTGGCACACACGGATGTTGCAATCTACAAAAGCATTGCGGTGTGCACGGGCGACGCGGTGAGGGTTTCCGCGGTCTGTGGCGGGCCCCGCGAAAAAGGCGTCGCAAGCTGCTGACGTGCCCGTCGGCACGTTTTGTTGTAGACAGGCGTTGTAGTGCACGGAAGCACTGTGGCGTGCGCAGGCGTTGCGGTGCACATGGTTGCTGTGGTGCACGCAGGCGCCGCGGTGTACACAAGCGTTTTGGCGCACGCACGCAATGTGGTGTACACAAGCGCTGTTGCGCACACGGTGGCTGCAGTATACACTGATATTGCGGCGTACGTGGGCGACGGGGTGGCGTTGTGCACGCAGCTGTTGTGGCGCACCGAAGCACGGTGGTGCACTCAGGTGGCGTTGTCTTGCACGGGTGCATTTGGCACTGTCGCGCGCAGGGATTGCAGCGAGCGCAAGTAATTGATGTGCCGATGGCGCGGACGCACCCTGGCGGGCGCACGCCGCGGCCGCCGCCACCGTTACCCGCCGGCCCAGCCCCATTTTCCTCGGTAGCAGCTTTTGCCCGGGATTTTACAAAACATAATATCCCAGCGATTCCTTCCCTCGATGACCAGGGGTTCCTCCCCAGCAGTCATGACGAAGTTCCAGATCGAGGCAAAAACAAGGTAGCCAGACCTTCCAGATCGCAGCTATCCAAACACGTCCGTCCAACGGCAACCAGATCGCGCCACAACCCCATAATAGCTAAAGTCGTTCCCGCGGACCGTCCACGGATCGCCTTCGTCCCCCTATTTCTCATCTTCTTTGGATCGGCCCACTTCCTCATATTTCGTCGGCAAGTGTCCAGCCGGCACTGCACAGTCTCGCGAAATAGCGCGCCAATGGCCGCGACCCCGCCGATGGCCCCCGTCGTGAGAATCCCCCCCCCGCCGTGAACACGACCGCAGGGCTATCAGCTGGCGCGTCTCGCTCCAGACAATCTCGTGAAACCCAGAGAATCTTTTGACGACCGCCTGCGCCGCGGCCCTGTGAAGGGGCGGCGGCCCAGGCAAAGCCGAGTGCCAGGAGGGACCCAGGCGCCAGGCTGCCGCTGAGCGACGCGTGGGGGCCGCGCAACAAGCCAAGGGCGGCGGGAAGGAGGGCAAAGAGCCGGCGAGCTGAGCCCAGGGCCAGCGCACGCATCACAGCCAAGGGCGGGGCGACGCTCAGCGGAGCAAGAATTGGGCGAAGGCTCCCGGCAGGCAGCCGGGAGGCAAAAAGGGAAGGCGACGCAGCGGCAGCGCCCCACATGTTGAGGCAGCGCGAGCTGTCGACCAGGGGCCAGTGCCGCCCGCCGGGCCCGAGACCAGTAGGGCGGCGTGTGTGCCAAACGGGCCTGGGCCAACGTGGCCCGAGGCAGAGCGCGCGTTGCGAGTCTCATCGCCGTGTGGTGGCGGCATCCACACAAAAGACTCCGGAAGAGAAAACAGCGACCTATAAGGATAAGCTTCCGGAGATTTGGGTGGGTTTCTTGGATCGGCGTCGGACCTTCGGGGCGCCAGAGACGTTGCCAGGGGGTTTGCTCCGACCCACGAAGCCTGCGCGGACCTCCGAAAGTTTATGCCTACGATTTTTTCCGTGCTCCGCCCAGACGGGCCGAAATCTATTATTTTGGAATTTCTTGTGCGAGTGTACAAGTTTCTTCCGAACTCCATGTGATTTTGGCCTCCGGTCCTTGCAAGGGCCGATTGCATGGGGAGATTCCGATCCCCCAGTTGACCCAGCGATGCTCGGCGTCGATGAGACGCCGAGGGATTCTAAGAGACACGTAGAGCCTCGCAGAAACCCGTCCATCGCGAGAGGCTCTTACTCGACCGCGAGCTCCAGACTTGGTGTCGGCAGTGAACGATTCGGACACGGTAGTTTCATGTCGTGTCAACGCGGCGGTGACCCAAGCGCGGGCGTTCAGGGTGGAATGCCGCAAGTGGCCCGCAACCGGGCGATGTCGAAAGGCATGCGCGATCGGAGAGCCGCGATCGTTTTAAGCTAGAACGATCCACGCGCTGACAGAAACCAATGCCCAGGTCGCCACGACACGAGCACGCCGTAGGAGGCGACTGCGAAACCATTGCCATTCCATGTCGATCCAACTGCCAGGACAATTCAACATCAAGTGATTGAACATGTGGCTCCCGCTAATGTTCTCCTCGACGGAGGCGAGGAAAGAGGGGCGAGGCGAAAGATCTTCTCAAATTGCGAAGGCGGTGCCCGAGCACCAGGGGATTCTGGAGCGGCCTGACCGGTCTTTGTTTGGCAGACGGGCCCCACACCATTCAGGAGGGGACAACAAATATACAGACACAACTTATCGTGAACTCCCAGGAAGTTTCCTGGGAGTCGACGACCTTGGAAGAGGGCGGGAAGACGAAAACCCCGAAAATATGATACAAAAATTGAAATCTTGGGATTTGTGTGTATTTATTTAATCGCTTCGTTCATTCCGCCGGCCCTGGAGCGCTATTTGGGGCCTCTTGGGGCCGTCTTGGGGGCCTCTTGGGGGCTTCTTGGGAGCGTCTTGGTGCTCCTTGGCGGCGTCTTGGGCTCCCCTGGGGCCTCTTGGGGGGCTTTTGGGGGCCCCTTGGGGCGGGAGGGGGGGTAGTCGATTGCAGCCACCCCCTCGGAAGCCACGATCCTGGTGAGGCGTGGCGAAAAATAGCCTACCCCCTAGGGATCGCCTGGGACCCGGCCGGGGGTCAGCCGGGGTATTTTTCGTCCGGGGGCCCTAGGGGCCGCCCCGCGCGCGCGAACTAGAAATATCGTTAAGTAGTTACCGGAGACCTTAGCACGCCTTTGGCCCGTTGGGCCGGCGAATTTGTGTGTTTGGGCCCCTTCAAGCATGGCGAGCCTTTGGCCCCGCCCAGAAGACGTGGGCAGGCGGCCGGAGGGGAGCCTCGAGGGCGAGGGGGTCGTCACAGGCCGGGCGCGTCACAGAAGGGGCCGGTGAACTGGGACGCAGTGCGGTGGAGCTCACATTCAGCATCGGCAGGTCTCCTGGGTGGGGTCGTAGCAGATGGGGTCGGAGGATCGCGCCGCATCACCGATGCATCGCCGATGTGGCTCGATGCGGAGCTCGATTTACTTCACGTCGACGTCGCAGATGCATCGCCCACGTCGCCAGTGCATCGCTGGTGCATCGCCGATGCATCGCCGATGCATCGCCGATGCATCGCCGATGCATCGCCGATGTATCGGCGATGCGGCGCGATCCTCCGACCCCATCTGCCCCGACCCCATCTAGGAGGCCTCTACTGGTGGATCTGTGGGCAAGAAAACTAGCATCATCCTGTTGAAGTCCACCTGTTCTGGCCGAGTCGGGCCTGATCCTGTGTTCAGTTTGGGTGAATTTGGCGACCTGGCCCTTTGCTCGAGCTCACGGGTAGCAGCCGCTCTGCAGTCGATGGGGAGTTTGTGGATGTATTGCTCCCCTGTGTCCCGCTCTCCCGCCCCCTCCTTCCCCACCTCCCCTTCTCACCCTTTCCCCTTGCGATTTTGTGAGGATGCCCGGGGCGAAACCGCCAGTTTGGAACTGTTCCAGCGATCATTTCCTCGCGCGCGGTGGGTCAAGATGCCGTGAGGTCTCTCCCTCAAAATAGTGTTTGATCGTTCTTTCGGAGACCTCTCAGAAGTTGCCTCCTAAGGTCAGGCCGCGCCCGAGGGGATCGTTTTTCTATGTTTTGGCGCGTAACGGTCTTTACCTGGGCCAATTCCCCCCCGCCCACACCCTTGGGTAACGGTAAAGATCGTACGTTGGGGGAGTGGGGGTCTGCATTACACTGCATTCCACCCCAAACCCCTCGAACATGCTGGTGCTCGCGCGCACACTGTGGCGATCGTACCGCACCCCTGCCCCGACGTGACCCCCCCCCCTGCCCAAGCGTTAGTGTTTCCAGGGGCCCAAAACTTCCGTCCCCCCACCCCCGCGGCTACAACCGTTCCCCGCAACTAGTGAAAGAACAATCTACGGGGGCGGCGCGATTCTGCTGGCCGTCCGTCTTCGTCACGCAGTTGCTGGCCCTGCGGGACGCGCGGGACTGCCCCACCGTCTACGCGCAGACGTCGCAGGTGCTGTGCGAGGGCGCGATCCGCGTGGCCGGCCAGGGTGCTGCAAGGGGGGCCTGGGAGTGGAGGGGAGAGTAGGGGCAGCGGCGGGTAGGGGGAGGGTGACGGCGGAGGAGGAGGAGGAGGTGGAATTTGGATAAAGGCTCATCGTCAGCCTGGAAGAAAAACAAGTGACACGCGTGCCATGGTTTTTGGATAGGGAGGGGGAAGGAGTAGGAAATGAAGGAGGAGGACGGGGAAGAGATATCGGGTGCGAGAAATCGCAGAAGGAGAGCCCAACGAGGGCTGCAAGATGGGCTTGACAGGGCGAGCTCGACGAGGTTCCAATGGCCCTCCCCCGCGAGATGGCCCCCCAAACTTCCAACATGCTCCCAGGAGGCCTGCATCAAACACCCCAAAAGTCTACAGAGGATCCGAAGAACTCCCCAGGGGCCCGAAACGGAGGCGGAGTGGGCACGGGGCGAGTGGGGGTTCACTGGGCCTCTGGGGAACGCTGGAGAAAAGGGTGATGAGGGGCGGGGGCGGGGCGCGCCGTGCGACGCGGAATGAAATGGTCGGGGCGGAGGGGGGCACTGGGCGGAGGTTCCACGGAGCCGCTAGGGAACGCTGGGGAGAGAATGGGTGGGGGGCGGGGAGGAGGGGCCCGGTGCGACGCGGAATAAAATTGTCGGTGCGGAGGAGGCACTGGGCGGTGGTTCCGCTGGGCCGCTGGGGGACGCTGAGGCGGGGGGAAGGGGAGGCGTGCGGCGGGGCGGCGCGCGATGTAACGCGGAATGCATTGGGCGGAGGTTCCGTTGGGCCGCTGGGGAACGCTGGGGCGGGGGGCACGGGGGGGGAGGGGCGGGGAATGGGGGGGAAAGGTGCGGCGGAACGCTGGGGAAGGGTGGGGCACGGGGGGTCGTGGCGGGGAGGGGGAGGTCACGGTGCGACGCGGAATGCAATGGGGGACGGAGGGGGCACTGGACGGAGGTTCCACTGGGCCGCTGGGGAGCATTAGGGAAAAGGGCGAGGGGGGCGGGGAAGGGGGCGCGCGGTGCGACGCGGAATATAAACATGTCGGGGCGGAGGGGGCACCCGGCGGAAGTTCCACTGGGCCGCCGGGGAACGCTGGGGAAGGGGAAAGGGAGCGGGGAGGGCGGGCGCGGTGCGACACGGAATAAATTTCTTGGGGCGGAGGGACATTTGGGCGGACGGAGGCTCCATTGGGCCGCTGAGGAACGCCGGGGCGGGTTAGCATGGGGTGCGGGGAAGGGGGGGGGTAGGAGGGGGGCGGGGAGGGGGTGGGAGGGTTGCGACGCGGAATCAAGTTGTCGGGGCGGAAGGGGCATGGGGCGGAGGTTCCATTGGGCCGCTGAGGAACGTCGAGGAGGGGTAGGAGGGGGGCGGGGAGGGGGGTGCGGTGCGACGCGGAATAAAATGGTCGGGGCGGAGGGGCTACTCGGCGAAAGTTCCACTGGTCCGCTGGGAGCGTTGGGGAGGGCAGGAGGGGGGCGGGGAGGGGGGGGGGGGCGGTGCGACGCGAAAAATACGGTCGGGGCGGAGGGGACATTCGGCGGAAGTTCCTTTTGGCCGCTGGGGAACGATGGGGACATGTAGAGGAGGGGGGCGCGGAGGGGGGGGGGCTGTGCGACGCGGAATAACATGGTCGGGGAGGAGGGGGCACTGGGCGGAGTTTCCATTGGGCCATTGGGGAACGCTGAGGAGAGGCAGGACGGGGGAGGGGGGGCGGTGCGACGCGGAATAAGATGGTCTGGGCGGAGGAAGTACTGGGCGGAGGTTCCGGTGGGCCGCTGAGGAGGGGTAGGAGGGGGGCGGGGAGGGGTGGCGCGGTGCAACGCGGAAGAATGCGGTCGGGGCGGAGGGAGAACCCAGCGGAAGTTCCACTGCTGGGGGGGGGGTGGAGGTGGGCGGGGAGGGGGTGGGGTTCGGTTCGACGTGGAATAAAGTGGTCGGCGCGGATGGGGCATCGAGCGGAGGTTCCATTTGGCCGCTGGGCAACGCTGGGGGAGGGTAGGAGGGGGGCGCGGAGGAGGGGGGGGCGCGGTGCGACGCGGAATAAAATGGTCGGGGCGGAGGGTCATTGGGCGGAGGTTCCATTGGACCGCTGAGGAGGGATTGGAGGGGGGCGGGGAGGGGGGGAGCAGTGCGACGCGGAATAATGTGGCCGGGGCGGAGGGGGCACCCGGCGGAAGTTCCCATGGGCCGCTTGGAGAGGGGGTGGTGTGCGGTGCGGCGCGGAATAAGATGGTCGGAGTTCGAGACCTTTTGTGGAAGATGATAATGGGCAGCCAGACTCTACAGTGGGAGTGAGTGTCTCGGCAGACTGAATCCTGTGAGGGGCCATGGCCGGCTCAAGAGAGAGAGCTGGCATCTGCAATCCCAGTGCCCAAGTCGACACATAGGCTATGTCGAGAGACTGCACGTCACGCTCATATATGCAACATTGAGGAGGGGGCGGAGAGAGGACAGGAGGATGGGGAGAGGAGGAGGAGGGGAGGCCAGGAATAGGACGGTGGCCTGCCTCCGAAGATGCCGTCTAAGAAAAGGAGACAGAAGCAAGAAAGACAGGGGGAACAAGCTTTGCGCGAGACGCTCACCACGGACAGGCCCCATAATATGGGAGTCAACGGGGCCATCAAGCCGGCCACCGACTCCCCAACAGGAGCCGAGGTCTATGGGACGGGACGGGGGATCCAAGCCAGAAGAAGAGAGACATTGACAGGGTCCCCATGCTCATCGAATAACCGCGTCAGCGCTGGCAGCACGGGCCCTGCAGACTGTTTATGATTTGGCTCCAGCCCTTGCATCGAATTACCAAGCCTGTAATAGCGGTGGTGTATTTTGGGGGGCCTATTGCATGCACATTCTGTGGAGGAGTCCAACGTCTGTAAATGAGTGGGAGCAGTAAAACTTCCAGAACACACACTTACCGGTACGCATGACGAACCCCCGGCCGCGGGTGAAGACGGTTTCTTATACAGTTCAAGTTCGCAATGGTTGGAAGCCCAGCAGGCTATGCACCTGAAGCGCTGCACGGAAGGATCCCACGCCATCTCATGAGGGACTCCCGTAGACAGCATCACAACAGCCGCGGGGGGGTCCGAACAAGGAGGGAGGACGACCCAGGTATGGCGAGGAATCTCGCTTAAGAGAGGCAAAACACGAGACATGTCAAACGCGATGTATTTGCCGGTATGCTCTACTACAATACGCGACCAACTCAGCCGTTCCATTGCAGCTGCATCAACAGGATAACGCCAGGCAAACAAGCACATCTGTCAGCATGATCTTTCCCCACTGTTAGCCAGGCGGCTTGGGCACAAGAAGAGACAGTAATGTGAGCCTTCACTTTGTGGATGTAGATGTCGTAACCAACGTCGGCAGCTTTTGCATGGATCCCTGAATCTGTGCTTCAACCAGAGACAACGTGAGAGAATGGAAAAAAACACGAATCCACAACCCACCTGGGTAATCGCTGTCAAGAACATACGTACCACATCAATCTGGAAAAGCATGCAGGAGGCAGGCAAGCAACGCCAACAGTTCAGCACCGGGCATACATTGATGAGCACCTGGGTATGCACCGTAGGCGGCCACACGTGCCTCGCCAGATGGCCCAACAGCTATCGCGGAGAAGCCGCAGCGCAATGCTCTCGGCTCAGGGCCATAGAAACCAGAATTGTCACCAAACAGGAGACGAGAGTAGAGGAGCAGCCTGATGATCACCAAAGAAGAACCAACGGATGTCCAACTCCACCAACTGGATGTGGTAACAGCCGTTTTGGAACTGGAGCCAAGGCAGAATACCAGAGTGGATCCGCAGGGTAACTCGTTCGAAAGCGTTCGACGTGAGCAAGCAGGCTGTCTAAGTGTCGATCAGACAGCGTTCCATCACAATTTCACAGAAGGTGACGTAAAGCCGAAATTTCATCCGTATGTGCCGTTCCGCAGACACAGGTTGGCCAAATTCACTGCCCCAGCGGTGACAGACCTGAGTGCCACGACTTGAGGTCTCCCCCACGCAGGCGTAGAAATTCCGACAAAGGTGCGAAGTGGAGGTAGATAAGGTGGCCCAGAGAGGTGGAAAAGGACAGGGTGATGAGGGGATGGTTGCTGCCATCCCCACACAACTGCGTCCCACGCCTCCATCTTCTCGATATCACGGGGTGAGGTTGTAGACATCTCAATGTGCAAGCCTTGCGGGTTGATCCAAAGTGTGGGGGATTGGAAGCCAGCAGGTGCCAATCGAAACATGACCGATGGCCCAATTACAGGGCCTCGTCCACGAGGTGTTGCGTCACCAGGGAATCCCAGCGGTAAGCGTGGAAAGCTAACGGCAGGCACCTCTTTAAGATTTTGTCTACTGGCATGTCCATGGTAACACAGCGATTCGATAAGCAGATGTAACTGCTGAATGTAATTGCTGAATCTGCACTGTGTTTAAACCTGGAACTCCATACCCATACATCACCACAGGCGGAAGGCCAGAAGGCCAGAACGGACAAGACATCCCACACTAGCCCCAGCCTTTCGTAGACGAGCCTTCCGACGTGCGCGACGCATATGTTCTTTCATGCGCGTCTTGCGCGCGTGCCGCAGTAGGCCACGTCGAGGCCGCAGCGTGAAGTCGGCGCCAAAGTTCTTGGCGTTCTGAGCACGGGGTGCGGACGCAAGCTCAAGGACAGCCTAATAATGCCCTCGGCCAAATTGGTTTCGGACGTCAACAAGGCCATATCGCGCACAGAAACTGGAGGCTGTGCAGAGACCAGAGACCGATAACGCATGCAGGAGCAACGAGGCGAAAAACGGCGCCTGTTCCATAATACAGTTCGGAGTTCTACAGGCAACTATTGAACGTCATTCACAACTAAGACATTATACGGGTAACGAATTTACTGCGTTTGGTGATACATGTTCCGGAGAAACGTTGCTCTCATCAGAGTGTTGTGGTCATCACGAGGATCGTTAACTTGGAGGAAAAGTGGAGGAGGGGGAGGGAGAGGAGGAGGGGGGGAGGCAGGATTGGTGGGATGAGGCGGAATACTTCTGAAGGGGGCAGGATGAAGGAGGAATGAGGAGGAGAGCTTGTGGGGAGAAGCACGAGGAGTAGGGGGAGAGGGAGGAGGAGCAGCTGAAGGAGGAGAATGAGTGGGGTGGAGGAGAAGGGGGATGAGGGGCAGCAGCAGTAACAGCAGCAGGAGGGGGAAGGGAGGATGGAGGACCGAAGGGAGGAGGAAGGAAGAGAGGGAGGCGGGAGAGGAGGAGGAGGAGGAGGAGGAGGAGGAGGAGGAGGAGGAGGAGGAGAAGGAAAGGAGGAGATCCCGACAGGCCCCCCAGGGCCTCCGCGGACGCTTGCAGAGACTGCCACTGAGGCGCCCCCAAAGATGCTTACGCATATCTTAGAGGCCCCGAGGCCCCGAACCGACGATGCTGCGGAGCTACCCCGCCACAGCGAAAAAGAAGCTCCAGGCCCCAGGCCAAGGAGTGCCAAGAGGCGCCCCAAAGGAAGCTTCCGCATATTTTCGAGGCCCCGAGATCGACGATGTTGTGGACCCCCCCCCCCACGCATCTGCGGCTCAGAGATGGGGCCTTGAGGGATGAGACTCTGAGGACCAGGTCTCCAACTGTGACGAGTCAACCTGTGATCCACGTCCTATCTTTAGGGCCCTATCTCTTTGGGCCCGCCTCTTGAACCCCCACCAAGCAGCCCGAAAAACTTGGTGATGAAGCGTGCTGTGTGAAGGTTGAAGCGCCGATGTGATTACTTGTTCAAAGTAAAGACCCTGGTGGACCCGACCCGTTCCTAGGCCGGACGTTTCGTAATGGAGGGGGCGAGAAATGGGAGGGGGGGTCGAGGGTAGCAGGAAAGATGCCTTTTATGGCCACGAAGGTGCACGAACGGTGCACCTTTCTTCGCCCCTTCTATCTTACCCCCATGAAAAGCACTGCCCGACTATGCAGGGCTGGTTTGTTCATCTGGAGCCGTATGACCTGAAACCCTAGCGACTACGACGACGACAACCACGACGACGACGACGACGACGACGACGACGACGACGACGACGACGACGATGGAGAGCCCGCGTTCGCAACGGCTCGATGTTTTCAAGTCTCGGGGCCCCAGACTTGCTGACCAACCTTCCCTGGGACGGGCTGTTCACCCTCCGTCGTTTTCTTGACGCTCCATGACGGCCTCCGTGACGCCGAGAATGCCGAACAACAGTCTGACTCTACATTTTTGTTGGGGCCTGGGCCCACTGGTCGGGTGTCACCCCCGGACCCGTCCCGGGGTGCGTGCTGGCCAGAGTGTCGAGGGTAACCTGGCCGTGGCGACGAGGAAGGCCCCAGGAGGAGGCCGAAAGAGGGTGGAAGGCACGCTCAAGAAGCTCCAGTCCCGAGGCTCGATCCTCGAAAGCCGACGACGAGGCAACGAGGTCGCCGCGCGCGGCTCCCTGGGAGACGGGCTTGGCGACTCGTCGCCGGTCCACCTGCGGAGATCGGGCCAGGCAGTGTTAGGTAAATCCAGATCGTTCGAGGCAGATGCAGAGATGCCCAGACGAGCGACAAAGGAAACGGGGTCGCCTGCGCCTACATTCGCGCGCAAGTTGCCCGCGTAAGGCCGCGGGTCAGCGCCCTCTGCTTCAAGCTGTGTGCCACAGTGGCGGCCCGAGTAAGCCACCGCATAAGGTCGTTATGTCATCTCGCGTAAGACCCTCTGGTCTTTTCGTCGTGCAGATGAATCCAGAGCAGATCGCGGAATCTCCACCGCGAGCCGAGGGAGAGCATAAGTCGTGAAGTTTTCGCCGAGCAGAGGCTAGCACGAGGGCGCCGCGCGCCGCCCGGGAGAAGCCACCGCATCCTCTTATAACGGACGTTCGTTGCACAATCTTGGGCGTTTATTGGACAGCCTTGTCTTGTTCGGTTCCTTCCGTAGGCGCGTTTGCTGAAGGGCCTGCAGTCAAAAACGGCTTCAATGATGGGCCTTTTTACGTAAGGGCACATAGTATCTTCCGCTTCTGGCCATGCTCAACACTTTCTTCGGCTTCCCAAGCCCAAGGGTACCTTGGCGTGGCGAGCGCAGCCTTGGCTTTCGCGCTGCAGAGTTTCCAAGGGCGGCGACGCAATGTAGAACGGAAGGATGATCAGGTACCATTGGATATCTTGGCACAGACTTGCGCGTTTCGCTTCGGCGCGCCCGGGGGGTCTTGTACCCTTGAACTCCTTCCATGTGATTGGAGTCGCCTGTAGCTCAGGAGGGAAAAAACACACACAGACACAATTGATCGTCGATTCCCAGGAAAGTATGCGAACATATGGGAAGTGGGGGGGGGAAGATGAAAATCAAGAATATATGGTAAACTATGGGGAATCCTGTTATTTGTGTGTATTTATTTGTGTGCCCCTGAGCCCCTTTGATAGCATGTATGGGATGCTCACTGCGAGCCCGCTTCCCGCACCCCGGAGAGGCCAACTCCGCGCCCGCGGTGTGCGCCGCGCTGGGGCTGGCGCTGTCTGGTCCCGCCGTGGCCCTGGGCGCCGGTGCCCTCGGCGGCGCGCTCGGGCACGGCTACGGCCTGAAGGCCACCAGCGTGCCCCTGTGGGGCTGCGGCAAGGCCGGGGCGCGGCCGGGCGCGCATCTTCAAAGGGTCATGCAGTGGCGAAGCGTCTTGGCTCGCCTACAGGCCTTGTGGTTTCAACGAGGTGTTCTTAGGACATTTCTGGCCGGGACTGTCTTGTTTTAGCACGTCGGACAATGTTATAAGAACATTGTTTTTGTTCTTAGAACATTTTTGGGTTCTAAGAACATGTCGTGGTAGGCCTATAGGAATGCCGGGACGGTCGGTCCTTGCTCAAAAGGATGAAGAGGTCGGAGTACCATCCATGGGTGCGTGGGTGATTTGGGATTCAGCGGCCAGGATTATGTTTGCTTGTTGATTGTTAGCTGTTGTCGTTTTCGTCCCATCCGCGAACCAGCCGCAACCCGCCCCGCGACCCACCCCGCGACCCACCCCGCGACCCACCTGCGATTCACCCGCGGCACACCCGCGACGCACCCCTGCGCCCGCCCCGTCACCTTTATCTGCAATTGCGGGGTGCTACGTACCGACAACGCTACCCTTCGACCGTTCGTTGTTTTGGGCCTTCTGGGAGACCCCCGTCGCAACACCTAAGAATCGCCTCGAAATTCTAGTCAGAACGCACCTGGGGGGATGCTGGCGGCGCCGAGGAGGGACAGTTAGAGGGGGCAGGCCGTCTCCGCAGGCGGCGGGGGGCTTCTCAGACGCCCCCTGGCCTCTCAGAAGCCCTCTGTGTCTTCCAGGGAAGGCTTAAGAAGCTTAGAAGCTAGCGGGGGAACGCGTCTGAGCCTCCTGAAAAGGCCCTCCCTCGCTGACTTCCCCCCTTGGCGCGCCGCCGATGATGGTCGCCAACATGCCCCTGTGCGGCTGCGGCAAGGCCGGGGCGCCGCAGGGCCCAGATCTTTGGCGATGTTCAGGGGCAGCGCTAGGGGGGCATAGGCCAGATGTGTTCGCAGGTTTTCATCGGCTCTCCGCGGTTTGCCAGCCTGGGTGCCCTCCTGCAGCTGCGCTGGGGGTGTCCAGATCGTGCAGGTAAGCCGCTAGCTACCGTGGTCCTATCGCCGATCTATTGGCGATGCATCGCCGACTCCATGGCGGTCGATGTTCCTCCCATTTGTCGGTCCGTTCAGATGTGTTTTTGTCCAATCGGTGTGTTTCTTCGATTTCAGCTTCTGCAGCCAGAGTCGTTCCGAGCGCCCGCTGGCGACAGGAGCCATGATTCGAGTGCGAGACGACGAGGATCGGCTACGGGCTGCGCGTATGACTGACCATTCGCCAGAGTGGCCTCTGATGCTGGCCCACGGGTCCTCCCAGCACAAGCTGGCGCGAGCGGATTTCGCCGCTGCCGCGAGTGGATTTCGCCGATACGGTGTGGATGCAGTCGGATTTTCCGACCCCATCTTCTCCCACTGCAGCATTTGATTTGGGCGTCTGATTTTTGTAATTGGAATTTGTTCATCTGGTTGTCGTGCATTGGACCTCCCTCTCACGGATCGATACATCTTGAGAGATGCCCTTGAGAGATGGTGTCGAGGGCTTTGGTTTTCGTTTTCCGCGATGGTGCAGTTTTTCTCGCAACGCGGTTACCAGGGGACGAGACGGACCGCCGGATGGCTGACACAGACTGGGAGCCAGGTGGAGCCGACCTCATCCCATCCCATCCCTCCGCTGGCCCAAGTTTGTGAGCTGCTGTGCGGCCAGCTGGGGTCCTCGACGTGGCCCTGACTGACCCGGGTCAGCGCTAACCCGAGTTAGCACATCCCCGAAGAAAGGAGGAGGATCGAGCAGCATTGCTTCTTTTCTGTCGCCAGGGATCCGATCCATTTTTCACTATGGACCACCCTGAAGTCCGGACCTTTTTCCCACGAACAGTTTGTCATCCTTGGCAGTCTGTGTTGACAGACAATGGGGCCAGTGAGGGCCCTGAGAGGTTGGCAACGACGGCAACAATTCCGTACATGGTGTGTTTTGTCGGTGTCATCATTTGGGAGGTTGGGGTTCCGAGTCACAATGCGTTTTGGGGGCCGTTCAGGATGATCCAGGCACCGTTGGAACGCTCTCGGCGTGGCGCAGTTGCTGGCAAGCATGCCGAGGCGGGAGAACTTCAAACAGCAGCAAAAGCTTACAGCCTCATCTTCCTGCTCCACCTCCCTCCTCCTGGTGGCTCCTGGTGGCTCCGATGATGTCCGTTACCGCCGAGCGATACGGCATCCGAACAAAACGCAGTGCGACAGACAAGGAGAGAGCAGCGGTAGGCTCAGGGGGGGACAGAGGTCCACCTTGCCTGTACGCTCCACCTCAGTGGAGTTGAACGCTCAAATCTTGCTTCCAAGTTTGGGTCCACTCCGCTCCTGAGCTGTCTCAAACCATTCACTCCATCACGATTGAGGGGAGCACCTCCTCCTTCCTCCTCCCTTCGCCTCCCTCCTTCCTCCCCTCCTCCTCCTCCTCGTCCCTCCTCCCTCCTCCCTCCTCTCCTCGGAGGCTTGGCGCTGGCTGCGACCCGCCTGCTGCTCGCGCTGCGGCGGGGGCGGCGGCTCGCTGGCCCTGGCCGCCGATGGCGCGCTGCTATGCGTGGACCCCACGCGCGGCGGGGGAGGGCGCACGCACGACGACGTTCAGCGACGCGCAGAGGGGGGGGCAGAGGGGGGGGGGGAAGGCTACGTAGAAGCTCTCCTGCTTCTTAGAAGGCGCGGGCCGTGTCTATAGATGTAAGGCTGGCGCCTTCTGGGAAGCAGCCTCCTTCTAAGCAGCCCTGCCCCCTTCCCCCTATCCCCCTCTTCGCGCCGCCAAGGTGACGGCGACGACAACGACGACAACAACGACGACGACGACGCCGACGACGACGGCGACGCCGATGGCGGCGCCGGCGACGACGGCGGTGGCGGTGTCGACGGCGACGGCAACAGCGGTGGCTGCGGCGACGGCGACGGCAGCGGCGGCGGCGGCAGCGGTGGCGGCGGCGGGGATGGCGACGGACGGCGACGGCGGCGGCATCGAGCGCGAGGCTCCTGAGGGCTCCCATGCCGGAACATTGAAAAAGCACAGATGGAATTTGTACGCCCCCCAATCCGAAAGTTGGGAATTGGGTTGGGTTGGGGTGGTTTGGTGGGTAATCAGACCAGCAGGTACGTACCCGTGCCGCTGCTCGTCCTGGAGGGCCCTCGTCGCCACCGCTGGACTCTCCCCGAGCATCGGGTCGGAGCGCACCCCAGGAGAGGTCCCACGGCGGCAACGACGACGGCGAGGACTTGCTGTTATGCGCGGACCCCCGCGCGGGAGGGGTGAGCACGGCGCACAACGGTGGCGGTGGCGCCGAGCGCGCGAGGGACAAGAAGTCATGAGGATGCGTTCCAAGATCTCCACGGATTCCATGATGTCCTATCGTTCCGTGCGGGCTCCCAGGGGCGACGGCCGCCAGATTAGCCTGGACTCATGGATCACATTCTGGGCCAACAGTACTGCATCGTGACATCGTTCTCTTGGTGGCGCCCAATAGGGGCGGCGAGAAGGGGGCGGCTTACTAAGAAGGCGGAGGGGATTCTCAGAAGGACTGGGCCTTCTCTGAAAGCTCTGGAGCTTCTGAGCAGACTTTTTAGAAGCCGGGCGCGCGTCTAAGAAGCTCACATGCAAACCACGGCGTCGGAGGTTGTTGTGCTGTTTTCAGCGTCTGGGGGCCCTCGCCCATCCCTGCGGCCGCCAGAACAGACAGCGCGGGGCGAAGAGCCAGTCCCAGGGAAGGGGCCCTGCAGACCTCTGGAGGAGGGGGAGGGCGCGTCGCGAAAAACTCACGACGTCGCGGGTCTTGGTAGTGGGGTGGGTAGGGGGGGGTCAACCAACATCGGAGGGAGGAGCAGCGGCTTTTCGTCGACCGCGAGCGTTCTGGGGGGATCCTGGATGGTCCCGAAGGGACGCCGGAGCCAGAGACCCAAGTTATGACTCGAAAGCCAACGAGAAGGATCAGTCGGGGCAGACGAGAGTGAGGGATTAGGGATGGGGGTTGAAGTTGGAGCTGGTGGTCTGAGGTGGCCCATGACTGGGTCCGGCCAGCAGGAAGGGCGAGCAGATTCGAGGTTCTGGGTATGAGATTGCTTTGTTGCCTTTTTCTGTCGTTTTCGGGCCCGAAGATGAACAACTGATCGGGGTTGCAAAAAACTGTACCAGATGGACCTTGGTTGGGGTCCGGGGATCGATTCTGAACGGATTCGGCTTCATCTTTTCTCCTGACCGATTTTTTCGAGTCCCAACCAGTTCAGACCCTCTGGCCGCCTCCAAGGTTAAAGAATCTGCTGCGTGCAGCTGGTTTCGGCCCCGCCGCCCAGCGAGTCCTTTAATCCGTGCTCGCTCTCGACAGGCGCTGGGATAACCAGGTGGATGATGCGTCACCCCTTAGCCTTAGCCTCATACCCAGGCATAGACGCCGCGAGCGACGGCCGGACCTCCAGGTAGAATAAGTATGCCTACTGGGAACAGGGAGGAGGCGAGGATCCGACGGGGCACAAACAAATCACAGCCTCACACACAGGAACTCGAGGCATAAACAAATCCTACCACCACTGCCGAATTGCGTACTTCACGATGCTTGTGTGCCTATACACAGGGGCATCTGATAAAAATGGACACGCTGACACCATTCGGGCGGTCGGATAGAAGGACAAAAGAGGAAGACGATAACAATAGCACACACAATACCCATCTCCACAGCGAAACACAGACACAAGAGACTGCCCTGGCTGCAAGGGCGCGGGGGCGGCTTTGACGTGCCTCGCGAGGCGGCACGCAGTCGCGGGACGGAACAATAGAACCGTCGGCGGAACAACAGAGCCGCCAGCCGCCCCCACGGTCGACCCTCGTATGATCGCCGCCGAGCTCGAAACAGCTATCCGGAGACCCAGGACAAAGTGGAGGCCGTCTATCATTCGAGGGAAGGCTTTCAGAACCTGGTCTACACAAACTTCCCCCCAAATGAGAGGAGTTCATTCCGCCCCCTCCTCGAACTCCCTCACCCCATTATGTGTGGTATCACTGCAGCGCCTCGATGGAAAATGAGACCAAAACGCAGTGGCGCCAAGGAGGTGGCCGCACCAGCGGTGGTGCAGGACGCCGACTTAGCGGGGTGCCACCCAAGCACTGACCATGAATCCGAGAAACAAATTCCGGTGTCGCGTGGCTAATAGCAACACGAGCCTATTTCTGCAAGAACCCCCAAAGGGGCACGACATTCCGCACGGCACATCTCGGACACCGAGTTTTATTTGAAGGAAGCACAAGCCATGGCACCCGCCACATTCGGCTCACACACCGACGCGCGTTGACCAAACGAGTCGCTGGTCTGCCTTCAATATCCGCAGCTGAGACCGAGACCCCAGCTGGAGCCGAAGTCCCCACGATGGAAGAAGCCGAAGCTCCTATCCGCCTCCGTGGCGTGATGATCCCAGGGAGGGTGTGCACTCCTGCCCCCCAACAGTCCAGGTTGCTCAGGAGGACTGTCGACCCGAACACAATAAAGAAACCCAGCCATCGCAGAAGCAGCGACCACACCTCTCCACTTCAGCACAGATGGGGGCACCCCGAACGGGGTAGGGGGTAGCCGCGTCCTGTGCCCTTCATCCCCTCAGCTTCAGAACGCGCACCTCCAGGAAACCCAGAACGCTGGGGAGAAGGAGGACACGTTCTCCGACGAGCGGCCACGAGGAGGCCTGTGCCCTTGCTCGTCGATGCGCTACCCCCTTTCTGCGATCTCCCCCATATCGCCCGACTCGAATGGGGGGGGGGGCGGCGGCGCCGACGACGACGACGACGACGACGACGACGACGACGACGACGTCGACGACGTCGACGACGACGACGACGAAAGGTACGAGGAGGGCCGGGCGGAGGAGGGAGCGGGGACGAGCAGGTGGATCCAGCGCAGCAGTTTGATGTCCAGCTTACTGTAGCCGGCTAGTGGCGGGGGCAGAGGGAATAACCTTTTCGCGGGGGAGCGAAGAGGGGGAGGACCACGCGGAGGGGGGAAGGAAACTGCGAGAGAGAGAGAGAGAGGCCAATGGGGAAGCGTGCGTCCAATTTGCCCGAGCGCTGCGACCAACCAATGGCACCTCGCAAGCGCCGTGCGTGTGCCTGGCGTTTTTGTTTCGCCGGGGTGTACCAGGGCCGCGCCAGGCTGCGCCACGGCTTGTTGGGGCTGGCCAGAAGGGTTTACGCTGTCCTTCGTGGCGTCATCTATTCGTTTGTACCGCTCATGGGCTTGGCGTTCCTCTTCTTCTTTTTCTTCTTCTTCTTCTACTTCTTCTTTTTATTATTTTTCTTCTTCGTTTTCTTATTCCTCCTCCTCCTCGTCCTCCTCCCCGCCTGAGGACTGCCACCCCGCGCCTGGAGACCAGGCCTTCATGCGATGGGGTTGGCGGCAGTATACGAGGACTATGGCGAGGATATTTTTCCTCTTCATTCTCCTCTTCTTCATCCTTCATTACCTCCTCCGCGTCTTCTTCCTCCTCCTTCCCATCCTCCTGCTGCTCCTCCTCCTCTTTCTCGCCCTCCTCTCTCCTCTTGTGCCTCGTCCCCCCCGCCCCTCTTCACCACCTCATTTCGCGCCTTCTGCCCATCATGATGGTGTTCATCCTCCACCTCCCCTCCCCTCCTGCGCCTTCTATGGTTGCAGAGCCCCTGTCAGCCTCTCCTCCTCTTGCTCCTCTCTCTGTACCCCCTTGTGCGCCGCCATATCGGCTCACAAGGGCCCTTGGGTTATCATGGTGCGACGGTGACGGACGCGCCCACGCTTCCGTAAAAGGAAAGAGAACGTGCTCTTTTTTAGCACGGGTCCCCCTATTTGTACCTCGTGTTTCTCTGTATTCATACAACCACACCCGTACAATCCACAGCGGCAACGGAACTTGTGGTTGAGATCCACGAGGGGAGTCAGGACGATCCCCTTGTGATCCGATTATCGGGTGACATATTTGTTCCTGTTATCCCGTCCGTCCCGTTCTTTACGACGCTCAGCTTCAAGAGTATGAATTCCCACCAGATTCTTGGTTACTGCCAGATCAGGATCTTGGGGCAGGAGCTGGAAAACGAGAAAGTGTTCCTTGGGAAGGTGCTGGCGACGTTGGTCAGATCAGGTCTGGGCTCCCTGGTTATCGCAGCCCCTTCGTCGGGTTGGACTGGGCGTGGACGCTGTTCGCCGGCTGTACTACATCGGCAGAATTCCCCTCTGCGAGGACAGGCCATGCTTTCTTTGTATCATTTTTCTCCGACGCATTGGGAATATACCACTGCCCGATTTTCTGATCGCCAACGAGGACAATTTCCTGAACAATCGCAGGCCCCAAAGATACCGAACGGCCGACCTCCCACTTGATAGCAAAGATCCCGATATTCGCCTAGACCCTTACAGGAAGGAGCTGCAGATGTGGCTCGCTTCTGCCAGAAGTTTGGAGGCACAGCGTGGATACCTCATCCACCGCTATGCCAAAAACACCTTCAAGATCATTATGAACGAACTCACTCAGGACCAGTTGTCTGCCGAGGACGGCGGGTAGTTTGTGAGGGTTTTTTTGATGAGCTTGTCTACTCAGAAGACACCAAGCG